AACTGAACTTGAATAATAATTTTTTAAAAAAGAAAAAAAAAAAGGAGCCTGGCGGCATCAAGTCTGCAGTATGATCGCTAATCCACCAGGGGGCTCCCAAGTCCCATACCGCACCTTAAGCGTCGCTTACTGGGTCTTTTCTCCTGGTCTTGCCTGTGCTAACACCAAACCTGGGGAAGCTGCAAAGCGCTTCCAGGAGCCCTTGGCTTCCCTTGTTGGATCCCGGGGAAAGAACTGGATACTTATTTAAAAGCTATGATCGCCATCTCTCTACAGATAATGAGAAATGTTACTATGGGAGGATGTCATGCACGTGAAGAGTGCAGAGGAAGAAAAAGGATTGAGAGACTTTGGATTAAAGTGTTACCCTCCCCAGCGTCTTTGGATTTAGCAAGTTCTAAACCCAAGTAAAGAAGTACTTTATTAAAATTAATTGAAATTGACTGGTTAAAATAAAGTTTTAAACCACATTAAGAATTATCTTCAGAATGAAATGTTAGATATCAAAGGATAGCAGATTATTTTGGAGGGCAGTGAGATTTTCAAGTTTGGGCGCTGAAACTCCAGACCTCTGACTCCTGTCAACACTGACACTCATGACTAATTCCTCCCACAAAACAAGCCCACTGGTGGTCAGAGGAAGATACGAGTATTTAAAATTCTAGCAATGCTGGCGAGCCGCAGAGGCAGACAGGCTGCAGCAGGAATGCCTGAGGTACGGTGTGAGGAAGGACCCACAGAAGCCAGTTTGTAAATCCCTGATGGATGACTGAGGAGGGGCAGAGTGGATGAGCCTTCAGAAGGCGGGGCGTGTGTTCTCTCCACAATCATTTCTCTATAAATTGATACAGTCTGGTTAATGGGGCAACATTAAGTGCATGGTACACGATTCTGGCCCTGATCTACCTGCTAGCTGTGCGACATTGGACAATGACCCCAGCTCCCTGGGTTGTTTCCTGGCTCGTAAAATAGTGCTGATGTGGAGGGGTTAACTGTCACATGTAAACTTTTTAGAGCAAAAAGGCAGTTCTCTAAGACTTCTTTTTTCCTAATCCAAATTCCTTGCCCTTTAATCGTTTCTCATAAAGCCTCCTTTCTAGACTCTGGGTTCCTCGACTCCCTCTGGATGAACATCCTTAACTTTCTTAGAACATGTCACCCTAAACAAACTGTTCCAGAGGGCTCTGGCGGGCGAGGTGCTGCTCCGGGGGCCGTTCCTGTGGTGACTGAGATACTCGCAGAGCTGCGCAATTATAGTGTGTGTGTGTGTGTGATAAAGGCAATTAAGTAGATAACCGATGCGATTTTGTTTTTCTAATTTTTAAGTTTTTTGTAGACATAAAATCATAAACAAGAAAGATACATTTTGTCCCAAATTGCACAAATGTGGGTACTTTATTCTACCTGTTAAGTATGGGCTCAGCATCCCAGCCTTTTGAAGCTATTCTGAATACTGATGCTGTTATACCCAGTGGATGACAAGGTAGTATGGTTCGGTATTGGAAGGGACCTCAGGAATCAAGTTAATCCTCTTATTTTTGTGTTATTGAAAATTGGTTAAGCTTATCTTCACTGTCTTTAAGAAAGTACTTGAGAGATGTTAATTGTGTCAGAACCATCATGCCATCGGGGAAATGCCACTAGAGATCTTCTTCCAGGTTGCCATCCAATTAGTAGCCAGCACCCTTGTTTGTGATTGCTTAACACCTCTGAATTACCTTCATTGTACTATGGGACCAACTGTAATTCTCCTTTTTATCGCCATAGAGATCATGAAATAATGTCTCCAAGTTTCTTCCTTTCTCAAAGTTGATATCAAAGCATTCACCTTTTAAATGGTGCCAAGGTTTATATTCACAATTAGTAATAATCAGCTGAAGGATAAACTTGTGTGTAAACTAGATAACTGTGATTCTGTGTGATAACTAAGTGATCCTGTGTGTGTGTGTGTGTGTGTGTGTGTGTGAGGACATGCATGCACATGTGTGGGCTTGTGGCTGGAAGGGAATAGACCAAAATCTTGATGGGGGTAGGTTAGGAGGATGGGTCATAAGTCTTAAAAGTTACTGTTAGGATTGTGCTACTTTCACAATTTAAAAAATACTAATCATGACTTTTAAAATCTCCGGTTGCAAGCACATGTTGCGTCTCACCTTCAGCTGCGTTTCCATGGGGATCACGAGTCTGTCTGTCAGGGAGGCGGCCTGGGCCGCGCTCCAGACCCTCCAGAATGAGCCAACTCACTCCTCACAGGGGGCACGTTTGGTCCGTGAAGGGCCAGCAGAGGTCTTGCTTGGGGTCCCAGAACACAGATTTACCCTCTTTGGATAATGGACACCTTCTGACTATTTGCACTTTAATAGACACAGCAAACAATGGACACCCCAGACAGCTGCCCAACCAATGTCCACTATTGGTTCTGGGACAGTGTGTGGGAACGCACACACACACTGGCTCAGAACAGCAGCCCTGGAACACAATTCAGGAAAGGAAATCAATGTCTGATTGCTCCCTTCCTCCTTTCATTCAAGCAACATTCGTAAGCATTTGTATATGTAAAGTTTACTGGACATACAGAGATTAGAGGTCACGGTCCTGTCCTCAGGAGTCCATGGTCTAGTAAGGGAGACAGGCATGTGTGGTCTAGTAAGGGACAGGCAGGTGAGCAGCCAGGTGGTGTAAGGGGTTCTCTGAGAGAGGAGCTCTGAGAGGTTGGGCCTGAGGGCGGGACAGAATCCGCCTTCAGCCCAGGGCTCTTTTCATTAGCTGTTGGTGCCTTACCGGGTATAACCAGGTGTTTGGAAGTTGCTAATGGCACACTGTGAGGGCTTACTGAGATATCATTGAGACATTTGTAATTGGATTCAATCAGTGTCACTAAGCGAGTTCCTCAGTGCCCTTGAGGGCATCGCTCCGACCTTCAGTCTTCATCCAGGTGCCTGCCGCCACCTGGCCCGCTCCCCTGCCAGCCCTGACTTTCAGTTCCTCATTCGCTAGATTTGCATTTATGGAGGGGGGGCCCTCTGGGTGTAGACGGCGCTGAACTGGATGAGAATCAGATCAACTGTGAAGAGGGTGAGTCAAAAGAAGAGTGGCATTATCAGTCCCCAAGTCCCATTAAGGAAACAAAACAAGCCCATACTTTCTCCTTCAAGAAAGAGAAGGAGGATCCTGGGGCCCAAGGGGACCGCAGTGGGCGCTCTGACACTGAGACACTTGAGAACCATTAAACAAGGGAGTCAAAGGGCACAGTCAGTATTTTTTTAATCAAGATATAATTGACATATAACATAATATTAGTGTTAAAAAACAAGACAACAGGCCCCAAGGGGAGTCCCTGATACTAAGCCCCGTGCCGCCAAACTGAGATTTAACTTAATGACAGTTTTGACTCTCCTGGAAACGGACTCTGAGGCAGTCAGTCAGGAACCATCTCATCGACACCAGTGAGGTCATCTGCCCGGTGAAGCCCCACGTCCCCTAAGGGAAAGTGACCTTGGCACAGCCCAGTCCCTTCTGCTGCACAGCTTCCTTGTCAGGGCTCCCTCCTGCCTGTAAAAGTCTTTCATTTTATACAGCTTTTCAGAGCTCCTTCTGTCCGGCTAAGTTGGATGCTCCCTGACTTATGAATCACTGAATAAAGCCAGTAAGATCTTTACAATTTACTCAGTTGAAGTTTGTTTTTAACCTTAGCTTTGGGTGTATAATGCAACGATTCGATATTTGTGTATATTGCAAAATGATTACCACAATAAATTTAGTTAATGTTCATCAGCACACATAGTTACAAACTTTTTTTCTTGTGAGGAGAACTTTCAGAACTCTTTTAGCAGCTTTCAAATGTACAATATAATATTACTAACTATGGTGACCATGCTGTACATTTCATCCCCAGGAGTTATTTTATAACTGGAAGTTTGTACATTTTGACCCCCCCTTGTATTCATAGTCTTCAGCTCTGAGTCCAAAATGAAGAGACAGGAAGAGGAACAACACATACGAGGAAATTTTCACTAACTCCCATGATGAAGAGTATATGGAGAAAAAAAAAACAAACAAACCCAGAATTCTCTTCTGGAGGGTGATCCCCTTGTAGCACAGGCTTCCCTGCTAGGTGAGGGTTCTAGGAACCCCTCTGTGTCTGTGCACCAGCTGGCATTGTGGTGAGAGGCTGCGTTCGGCTTCAGTGAATTTTCCTGAAGATGCTTTGAATGTGTTTGCCTGTTTCGTGATGGGCGATTTTCAGTGCCCCTGCCCACAGGTGCTGAGTGTTCAGCAGTTTTTGACCAAAAACAGTACGACCCCTGGGCTGCACCCTCCCTAGTCACCCGACCTCACCCTGAGTGACTTTTTTTTTTGTTCCCTGGATGAAAAAAGTTGTCAAGGGAAACATTTTGCTGTTGTGGAAGATATAAAACAAAAAAATGGCAAAAGCACTAAAAGGCATCAAAGTTGAGGAGCTCCAAAACTGTTTTTGAGCAGTGGAAAAAACATCTTGATAGGTGCATCAAATGGAGAGTGCCTTGAAGGTGACTGAAGTTTAAATATGTAAGAATAAATACATATTTTTTTTTATAAATAAATTCTGTGTTATTTGGGTCTCCCCTCGCAAAATGTAGTTTTTTCTCCTTGACGTGGATCTCCAGCCATTAAAGAAAATACCACCGAGCATCTACTGATAATCATTTCTTCCTCCTTCCTCCATCACCCTGCATCTCTTTGCAAGAGAGTACATTAATGAGTCAGGAGTTAGGACCCAGGGATATTTGTTAGCCTCACACGACCTGACAGCTGACTGGGAATCAATGAAGTGTGCTTTACGAAACACCGCACTGATGTGAGGTGGTTGGAGGCTATTTTACCCCACTTCAGGTGTCTCTTTTCCCCTTGGCTTCCACTTCAGACTCTGAACCACTGCATTTTCCTTCCAAAATCCCCCTTTTCTGATAGAAATACTCTGTTATTAACAAGGAAGAAATCTTCTTTCTTAAACTGACATCATGATGCTGGCAGGTTTAACGCTGGTCCTCATTCTCCTTGGTGTGACTTCCTCAGGTAAGCTCAAGTTAAACTAGATTGAAACTTCACACTTGTAGAATTAATTAAGCAAGGCAGGTGAAACTAGGGTGTTGATAATGCCTAGAATTACAGAATATAATATATGGCATCTTTAGGATAATCATTAGAACGTGCTTTTGATGAATAATTCTATAAAATCTGTATATTGCTAAAGAAATCATAACTGAATTTCATGCTTATGCTTGTGTTATTGATTGTGTTATTCCTTCCAAAGCATTGTTAATTTTGTAGGAAGATATAAAAGCAGAAAAAATGTTACCAAATGCATTGAATGTTACTCAGAGAACTGTTAAAATATTTGGCACAGAAACTTATTAGATTGACATTTTTATATTGTATCTACTGATAATCATTTTACCTGTGTATAGATACTTTCATCCACTCTATCTTATAGACATATATATATACTTTAATAAATTTATGTATGTAGGTATATTTAGAATGTTTGTACATCACAATTAAACAAAAGTATATATCAAATGTTTATGGACATTTATAAGTTTTCTGTGACTGTTATCCTTCTGAAAATAAAGAAATTTTTAATAAAGAAAGAGGGCAAATTAAAGGAGAAAGAGAAGAAAAAAGGAAAGAGGAAGAAAACTGAAAACTTAGAAGAAAGTGGACATTTTCCCCTGATGGTTTTCTGGGTTTTGAAATTATTTCAGTTTTTATGTAACTTAAGTTCTTAAGAAGGTTCTTCCCACGGCACCAGAAACCAGTTAGAACCAGGAGCCCAAAGGTGAGAAAACAGTGTCGTTCCACCAGCAATTGGTATTTATTTGTTACTAGGATTTTTGCCACGTTTGATTAGTACAATTTTCAGATGGAGAGCCGGAGGCTCTGAGGCAGATTTGCCCAAGTCCTGAAATAAATCCTCGATTGCAAAGTCACCGGGCCGTGAGGTACACACACATGCACATGACCCTGTCGTCAAAACCATAGCCTTTCCTCGTACCAGCGACTCAGAAACAGGAATTTCTAAGTGCAAACAGCATCACACCCACTTTCCAATGTCACTAAATTTGGTCTCTGCAAAGTCTGAAATGCTATTTGCCAATCATAAAAATAATAATCAACCCCTGTGTGTTAGCATACGGTTAGTGCACATGCATCTAACAGTTTTTGGCTTGTTCGTTTGTTTGTTTGTTTGCCTTAACTTACTAGAGTATTCTATTTACTATGAAAAGATCGATTCTTATCATTCTTTTTCCAGGGAAATCATCTCACTGGTTGGCAAGGGTAGTTAGCATAAACCCTCTTGGTTCATCCATGCATCCTCCTCTATGCATAGTAATAGTTACATAAAAAATTGGATTTGGGGGAGAACCTGCCTCTCATTCTCCACTGTGTAGGCTGTTAGAGTTTAGGAGTGTATACTGAGCTGCATACATCAGTCAGAGATCTATAATGAACCTATGTAATAATTCTGGCAACTCGTATTTGTGAATATTTCTAGACCCATTGGAGTCTGTTTCTATATTTAGATCTATACTACTTTTCATTAAGTTCTTTAACTTTACTACTTCTTGTAAAGAAAGTTTCTTTTCGTCAAGCAAATTACGAGGGACAACCCCTCATTTTTAAATTTCTGGCTTTGGTGAAAAGGATAGTTGTGTATGGCCACGTGACGTTTCCTATATTGCTAAATCATGCTCTGTGTGTGTGTATCTGCTCCCAGAAATAGGGGCTATGTCTTTCTTATGTTCCCATCCCTCTTACCACATGATGATATGTGTTTATTCATTCATAAATATTTATGGAGGTCCTCCTGTACCCTAGGAATTGTTCTAGCATGTAGGAGGCAAAAGGGAATAAAACAAAGCCATTCTAATAACTCTCCTGCTAGCAGGAATCCATTAAATATTTATGATTTGATTTCTTTCTGCAGGCTAGCTCTGTGTGTTGACAGAAAAGGCTACTATATTTGTGGCATGATTTTTGGGGGGGACAGGTGGTGATCATGGAAAACAAAACCAAAATATACCAAAAGGCATCAAAACAAAAAATATACCTCTCCCAAACATACTTGCTGAGGTTCGAAATTCTTAAATTGTTTCTTTGCTCTCCCAGCTGAGAATAAACAATGGTGTTGTCTTCAGTAACACCATAAATAATCACGGGAAGTTTCACCTATTAAGTCTTATCAGTTATTTATACCTCGGTGTGAGTGAGTTTGTCAAACTGTTGTTGAAGGTGGGTGTTGATGGGGGTGAGGAGAGGGCAGAGGGCCTGAGAGCCTGAAGAAAGGAAAGGAAACATGGCCGAGAAGAATAAAGAGTCCACCGGGTCGTCATAGGTTCCAAAGAAAAATGACTTTGTCTCAGGCGGCTGCTGGGAGACTCGTCCAAATAAATCTCTCCTGATTCTGCTTCCTGGGGCTGAGAGAGCCCTGACCTCCTCCCTGGGAGGGGGTCCCGAGCAGTCCCTGATGGCCCCGGTCACCTTCACCGGGATGCCTTCTGCATTGCGGTAAATGGCAGCCCGGCGTGGAGGTCTACCCTCCCCTCCCCCGTCAAAGGCGCATCCTACACTTTGGCTCTCTTTTGTATCTTTGGAACGACAACAATTTGACATTGATAAGTTACATTTTGTGGCTGTTTCGTGAACGTAAAGACCCGAGAAGCATAGGACCTGTAGGTTGCAGGACGCTTACCAAGGCCCTTACCAATCATCCACTCTGTATTTTTATTGGACGAGGTTAAATGCTTTGCTTAAGATCACACGGCCTGGAATCGGGACCAGAAAGCATGTCTCTGAATCTGAGTCCAGTGCCTCTCAATGTTAAGTAAATATTTGTTGGACTTTCATTCTAAGGAGTGACAAGTTTGGCAACAGACCCGGCACCCCGGGCCAAGAGCAAGCAGCGCGCCTCCCGGAGCACGTTCCCAGCCAGACTCAGGCTCTGTCGCCGACCCTGAGAGTCTGGAGTCGCGGGCAGGCGCTCGCTCTCTGCTTCTCCCCCTTCTTGCCCGCGCCCGTGGAGTTGTTTGTCTCGTCCCAAGGGGAACATTTTAAGAAAGAAAAATGAGACAAAGGTTAAGCAGAGAGAGGGAGAGGAGAAAAGAAAGGGGAAGAATTGAGGTTTAGGGGAGAAACAAAATGCGTTTTTTACCAGAAGAGATGGTGAAAAGGTCTAATAGGCAGCTCTCACACTCTTGAAGGTGTGCATTAGACCAAGTGTGTGGTGTGTGTGTTTAGGGGAAGGGGTTGTGCAAAGCAGGACTCAAAGCAAGGAACTGTGGGAACGCCATGGTTAAATCTGAAACAGGAATGCTCCCTCACTGTAAAGCATTGGGCGTCCATGGCCAAGAAGAGTGATCACAGAGAGAGGCGCCCATACAAGAGGCCCCCTGAGGCAAGCAGTGTGCCCAGTGCCAGCCTCAGCAGAGGAAGATTCCAGTAGCGATCAGGGATACAGTCACCAGTGTTGAGCGTCTTCCTAAAACCAAACACAGATTATCTGTGACCTGGATTTAGGATATTATTCTTCCCAGCAATAGTTTGCTTTAAACAACAGTAAAGTATTTTGGAAAATGCAATGCTAACAACACCACAACAACAAAAATAGTAGTAACAATGAACATATGTTTGCAGAAGTGAATTGTTGGAATAGTTTCTATGTGGCTGGAAGGAAAACATAGTGGAGGGAACAGTCTTTTGTCCCCTCAGTCCTGAAAGAATCTCATGGGCTGGTGGAAAGAAGGTCGCCTTGGGAGTCAGGAAACCATACCCACCATTTATTAACTGAACTGAGTGACCCTGGGCAAGTCACTTCCTCTCTGGGTACTCCAGGATTTTCACCTGTAAATGAGGGGCTTAGGTCATCCTGGAGGTCCTTTCCAGCTCTATTGTCTTTGCTTTAACATTTCACTTTTTCTCCTTGTATAATTAATGCTGAAATTATTTATAAATACAAATGTTCTTTCATCCCTACCCATCAGGGAGCTGACTTTGCAGTGGGGGTTGGTGCTCATCTTCCAAGAGAAGTTTCTTGACTTTGTCAATTTACTTTAGAACATTGGTCTTGTCTAATTAATTTAAAATATAAGTCCATTTGCAAAAATCTGGTTTACACACAGCTTTCCAGGAATCTGTCGATCCCTTAGCACGGACACCACCTGTCCTGGTAGTCATGAGCACATCTGTCATTCTACGTTCTTTAGAGCTGTGAGCCGGAGTCGCTCGGCCTCCACCCCCTGTGCACAGAAGGTGCTGTTATGGCCTTTTGTGCATTGGTTCTTTCATTTATTCATTCACCAAATGTCATCACATATACATTGAGGCCCTGGCCTCAAAGACTCAATGGTGGAGGCGCATGCCCTTCCTCGTAATTTTCTATTTCACGAAAAGGATAAATCAGAAACACTCCCACAGCTATGCTCTATGTCTGCTCCAGTAACATAAATGACTTCATCTTCTATTTTGAGAAGACTCAGGAAGCTTACAAATATTAGGCAAAATCATTGAACCTGAATCTATCTTTTGTTTGTTTGTTTGTTTGTTTGTTTGTTTGTTTCTTTCTTTCTTTCTTTCTTTCTCTTTTGGTTATACAGCTTTATAGTAGTCAGTTTGGGCTGCCATATCAAAATATGATACTACAGCCCTGGTCAATGTGGCTCAGTTGATTGGAGCATTGTCCTAAAGACCAAAACGTCATAGGTTCGATTCCCGGTCAGGGCACATAACCAGGTTAAGGGTTTGATCCCCAGTCATGACACATACAAGAAGGCAACCAATGAATGTTTCTCTCTTTCCCTTCTTCTCTCTGTAAAAACAAGGAGAAAAAGAAAAATGACCTCAGGTGAGAATTAAGAAGAATACTATACTACAGAAAATTTATCTTCTTACAGTTCTGGAGGCTGAAAATCCATGATCAAGGTGCCGGGAAAATCAGTTTTGTGTGAGAACTCTCCTTCTGGCTTGTAAACAGCTGCCTTCTGGCTGTGTCCCCAGGTGGTTATTCCTCAGTGCTTTTGTGGGGAGAGATCCCTGGTCTCTCTTCCTCTTCTCCTGAGGATGCCAATCCTATTTGATTAGGGCCCCACCCTGATGACCTCGCTTAGCCTTAATGACCTCTTTATGGGCCCTGTCTCCAAATACAGTCACAATAGGGCTTAGGTCCTCAACATATGAATCGGAAGAGACACAAACATTCAGCCCATAACAGCCAGTACAGATTTATGCTTTTCCTTCCTTGATTTAGACAGAAGTCCACCCTCTAACACTGGCAACATGGATCAAACACATGCAGGTCCCTGAAAGAGCAGATCTGTTCATTTCCTTTTGGATCCAGCTATCTGAGGACCTAAAGGGAAATGGCTTGGGGAGTAGCAATGCTGGGAATGTCAAGGTCCTCATTTTAGAAGTAACTCCCCAGGCACCCACAGTATGTGACTCCACCTCCCTTCAGAATGACAATAAAGTTCTCCTGCCAGGAAAGGGAGTTCAAAGGCACAATCTACGCTCTTCTGGGACCCCTCCCATATGTCTCAAATTATAAAGGCTCAGGGTTGTTCGAGCTAAGGAGTGTGTGTGTGTGTCTTGGTTCAAACATTGTTTGGTGCTTCAGCCTCCCTGGAGCATCTCCCTCTGTGGTGAGATAGTGTCATATGTAATGTGTACTCACTGGGCTCAGCTGGGACACAAGAGCTCTCAGGGAAGGTCGGTGCTCTGGCACTCCCAGGAGCTGGGACTGCACTCAGCCGCACGTAACAGTGGCCATGGCAGCTTAGCCAAGTAGGGCCTGGGAGACCATGGTAACAACTTGAGATGTTTTCCTAAGTTGGATGGGAAGCCATTTGGAGGGTTGGAGCAAGGATCTGACGTACGCTTTTCTGCCTCTAAGCAATGGCCCTAAGTGCTAGGCAGGAAATGGACTGTGAAAGGAGCAAGAGAGGAAGAAGTTAGGAAGCAACACATGAATCCAAGAGAGGTATGATGGAGTTTGTGGTCAGGGTGGTGCCAGTGGAGACGGTGGAAGCAATCATTGCTGTGATGTATTCTGAAGGGATTTAAGATCGGATGAGGGATAGAGAAACTATTGAAGTTCAGCCTAAGATGTGAACACCTCCCCCCGGCCCCATTTCCAGAAAGGTCTTAGGGCCTTTACAGAGCGCTGCCCTGGCAGCCACCCAGCTGGCCTGCTCCTTAATGCGGCTCTGCTTGCTGAGAACATTGAAGCATCGAAGTTGGGGAGTGGTTGGCTTTTTAAATAAATAAGCACAAATGCAAAGTTGCATCTCTCTCTATCACTTATTTGCATTTTAATCCACTTTCTAAAGTGAAAGAGAAAACTGTGGAGGCAGACAGAGCACAAAGGCTATCTTCTCCATGCCCCTGTTCACTTCAGGAAATGCTATGGGCTCATTTTGAGTGACTGCTCCCTTAGTAAAGTGACGGTCTCTTGCACAGACAGGGAGTGTGTGCTGTTATGCTTTTCTTCCTAATTAGAGTTTGGGGGCTTTGATCTGGTAAACTTGGGGTTGTCTTGCATGTGATCATTGCTCATCACGTGTGTCTCTCAGTGAGGTAAAAAAGGGGTTTCCTATGGTAAAGCATACTGTGCAGAATGGATTGCTGTAGGGTATTAATAGGACGCTGAATATAAGAAGAGAAGGGCTATATGTAAATCAACAACAAAGAACTTCTGTGTTTTAAATTTGATAAACAGATTTAAAAGAAACAAAACATCTCTAGACTGCCTATCTAAACCATTTCTTCAACTGGAGGGTTAAAGCTTGAAACTGGGATGTTTCTTAGGCTTTCACACGTTTAAGGTCAGAGGAGAGTGTTGAGCCTGGTTGTGGACCACGGAAGGTCTGCATGAGGGAAGGCGCCCTCTAGAGGAAGGCAAGAGAACAGCACAAGACAGAGGGCCGGTGTTCATCAGATACGTGCTGAATGCCTGGAAAATGGTCCTGATGCATACCCTTCCCTGGAAAAGCGTCATCAAATAAAACGGAGTTGTATCTGCCATCATGGAGCCTGAGGGGAGGGACAGACAATGACAAATACAGGGCGCGGCAAAAGTAGGTTTACAGTTGTCCATATGGAGAAATAATACAATAATTAGGAAATAATAATACAAGTATAAACTCTTGTGTTTTGCGTACTCACAACTGTAAACCTACTTTTGCACCACCGTGTATACAGCCAGTTCTGATAAGGGATGTGAAGGAGCCAGAGTGCAGTGGTGGACAACGCTACCTGGACAGAGGCGTGTGTGGAAGCGGGTGCGCTGTGAGGCAGAGATTAACGGGGCGACTGTAGATGAGCTTTTGGGGTCAAGGTGTTGACCTCGTGATGGGAAGATCCCGTGAGAGTAAAATTTTGGGTAAAAGTATACAGACTACTTTTAGCTGTGTGTTGTGGGCATGGAGAATGGCTGAAGAGAACGCTGGTAGCCTCAAAACTGTCTTTGCTGAATTGGATTGTGTAGAAATATACGACGGTTCACGCCATGGGATGCGGGAGCAGTCATTGTGCCTCTCCCATTAATTCAGGTTCCCTCATGATTCTTGCAGCCACTGCAGAATTCGGTTCAGTAGCCGAAAAAGAAGATGCCCTCCTCAGACATTTATTCCAAGGTTATCAGAAATGGGTTCGCCCTGTATTAAATTCTAATGACACCATAAAAGTATACTTTGGATTGAAAATATCTCAACTCGTAGATGTGGTGAGTAATCCTTGGCGCTAACCTAAAAAGAACATACATTCCTTAACTTGTTTGTGAGTCTGAGATTTTATTTTGTTTTCTTTCCTCATGTCTGACATTTCAATTTTAAATATAATTTACTGTGAGAGAAAATCTGCCCCAAGCAGCCAGTGAAATGACTCAAGGAAAGAATGAGAAGTGTCACAGTGTACATTTTCATTGCAACACGATTAGCGTGGGACATTTCTGCTGGAGGGTGGATATGGTTGCTCGGGCGGGCATTGCCCCTGGCAGGTTTGCTGCACCTGGGGCGAGCACCCAGGGTGAGGAGTGGGGGCTGGAGGGGAGGGAGAACTGAGCCCGGGGCTGATCCAGTAACCTCTCAGCTGCGCGAGGGCTGGCAGGGGCAGCTGCATGGAGAGAGGGCAGATAGGTCGCAACAGCCCCAGAGCGAGTGCTGGGCAGCCCCACCATCCTCCTGGAGCCCCCGAGGACCCCATACCTGCCCCTGACCTCACCCGTACTTTAGCATTCTCCGCTAATTTTCTTGCTAAGCCTGCTAAGCCATGATTGCATTCCTGGAAAATCAGTGAACTGTAAGCAACCCAGATTCTGCAAAATCATCCTGCTTGGTCCCCACGTTCCCAGAATAATCCTCCCATGTCCCCCAAATCCCCCACCCCATCACACACGCCCACCCACCTTGGCTGGTCAGTGCCCCAGCTTCCTTCTAGAAAATCATGCAAAGCCCATTTCCAGTTTAACTAATATTGAATTCTACTTGGCGCCGTGGAAGTGCTTTCTGGCTTCTGTAATTATATACAAATATCACCACAATGAACTGCTACTTGCTTTAATTGTTATTTTTCATTTTAAGCCAAATATGCATAACATTTTAGAATCCTGTGCCATTTAACTGTTCTTAAGTTGAGAATCCTTTACACTTTGAGCTCCTCAAAGGTAAGACATAGAGAGCTCTTTCTGACTCCAAAATTCAAAATGCAGCTTCACTTAAATTAAATTTACATCTTTAACTGTCATTTTCTTAGGATGAAAAGAACCAACTGATGACAACAAATGTGTGGCTCAAACAGGTAAATGTCAATCCAAGGACCGTATCTGCCAACCTAATCATTTCCATTCTATTTAGAAAGACTCCCACTTAAAAAAATAATTGTTTGAAAGAGCACATCAGGTTTCTCAGGGAGCTATGTGGGAGTGGTTGGATCTATTTTTTTTGTTTTCTTTTGCGAGAGCCAGAGAGCAGGCCTTGGACTCTAACAGGCGTGACTTCCTCTTTGGTGCCCCTGCAGGACTCTCAATGGGGCGGTGGGAGGGTGGCTGGCAAGCAGGCCTGGGCTCTGGCCTCTGGGCTGCTTGGAGGAAAGGGGTAAAGGCCCAGGGTGCAGCTGTCCCCCATCGAAGGTGCTGCAACTGGATGAGAAAATCGGCGACATTAAATTCCCCCTTATCCCACTGGTCCTCCAGGGGAAAAATCTGCCCCCGCATGTCTTGTGTCTTCCTAGAAAGAGAAAATAGGAAATGACAAAAGATGTCCACACCTTTTGTTGATTTCAGCACAAAGTAAAACCCAAACAAAATAATGAATATATGTTTTTCTGTTATAACTAAAAATGTGTTTTGAATGGTCTTTAACCCTCTGCTCAGATGATTGCTTTTAGCTTGACTATAGCCTGTTTCCTAAGACAGAAGCATCTGTTCAGAGGAGCTTGGTCTAGAGTTGTCAGGAAGTCATTGCCTTTCAAAACCCAATATTGCGTATGTGACGTGAAAGGAGAAAATATTGACACTGCCCTGATAGGAGGAGAAAAGGTTGGTTTAATAACGTATTTTTGTTTTTGTTGGTAGTTACCTTTTTTTTGTTTCATTTTGCTTGTAAGCTTCATCCAAGGATATGTTTACTGATTTTAGAGAGAGAGGTAGGGAGAGAGAGAGACAGAGAGAGGAACATCTATGTGAGAGAAAAACATCCATCGTCAGTTGCCTCTGGTAACTGCCTGGACCAGGGATCGAATCTGCATGGGACGATGCTTCGAACAATTGAGCCACCCAGACAGAGCAGCAATGACTAGTTTTTTAATGAATGTCCAGATGCTGCCTAATCTCCCATAGATTTAAAATCTTCCTGGTGGGGCTATCTTAAATATCTCACTTAATCTTAACATACTGACATAATACTTTCCATTTCTTTATATTGAAATAAGTTAGTTACCTATTCTGGTTTAGTGGACATTGTTTCCTTCTTTCTGCTGTTCACAAAGAACTTGGATACCAGAAACTGTAGGAGATTCCATAGGCTTCATTTACTGTCATTAAACTTTTATCAGAGTTAGAGAATTATTATAATATTTACTAATTTCAATTTCTCTGATTCTTTCCTTGGTACGTATGCTAGCAAATTATGAAATAGATTTGCATAGTATTTTACTTGCAAATAAAAATGTTTAGGAGAAAATAATAAGCTGAGAATGTAGACATAAAAATACAATTTAAATAATCGTATTTTTCTATATACCTAATTCCTCAGTGACTAATCCTACTTTTGCACTTTAGAAGCTGTAAAATTTGGAGGCATCTTGGGTCAATAAAAATCAATAAGAAGTCCTGTATTTGAGCCTGCAGGGGAGAGAAGAAAAACTTTTCTGTTAACGTGTAGATAGGTTGAGGAAATCCAGAAACAGAAAACAACAAACTTTGACTACTTCACACACACCTCCTTCTCCATTTGCTCCTTGAGTTTAAGCTCTCACATAAAGCACTGGTCCAGGGACCCTTGTTCTGTAATGAGATAGTAGATGCTTTTCACTTTCTAGAGATTTTGAAAACAAGAAAACACTTCAACCAAAGAAAACGAGGTTAGACACGAAGGGAGGAAGCCACGGGCTCCTCAGGCCACAATGACAGCTCAGGAAATAACTCACAGTAAAGTGATGCCACTGGAATCACAGTGGCCCGGTGAATGTCTCCCGGTCAGGAAAGAATCAAAATCTAAACATCTCCAGCACCCAAAGCGGAGCGAGAGAAATCTGTAGGTGTGGGGCCACCTGACCCTTGGAAAAGCCTGCTGGTCGCCACTTCATAGATCTGGTGAGAATAGACTTGGATTGCATTTAATCTGCAAAGGGTTGTCCTATCTGTTGTTTACGTTTCTTAGTCACTCTAGATTAGCAAAGCAGGTATCCTTATCTCCATTTACAGAGACAGAAGTGACCAGTAACTCATCTGGCTAGAACTCTGCTTTCCTTGCCTTGGGCTTCTCTGCCACACCCAGTCTTTGTACTAAACATCAAGACCCGTTTCTCAATCATAGGAGGAGAAACAGCTGCACGTTTCATAGACCCGCAGAAAAGATTATCTAAGCTCTTCCGCTCACAGACTGGAGTTGGAGTGGAATGTCACAGTAGGTATGGGTCAGTGAGTGCTATGTTATAGCACAAATGATAGGGGAGCCAAAAAGGATGAATTCAACAGCATGAGTGGCAGTCAGGGAAGGCTGCATGGAATAAGAAGCATTCAAACTCTGCCACAATGTTACTTTTTCGGTTTTTTGAAAAGATCTTTTTAAGAGTAAAAAAAAAAAATATGAAGGGTAAAAGAAAGTTAGATGATAAAAACGCAATAAATTTGACGTTGAAAAGACTAGAATTGGTGTTTTACACGGATCTCAGTTTCGGAGCAGTTAATAACAATAATACGTAATATTTATTGAGTGCTAAGCACTTAGGCCCTATGCTGAGTGTTTCATGAGAATGAACTCACTTAATTCTTATGGCTACCTTATAATGTAAGTTCTGTTATGATTCCTACTTCGCAGGTGATAAAACTGAGGTTTGGAGAATTGAAGGGACTTGTCCGAGGTCCCATACTGCGGAGTGGAGTTTAGCCCATACGAAGAAGTCATTCCCTTCCTCAGGCTGGAGGGAGTGGAGGGGAGGAGAGGTCCCGTTCTCAGTGCCGTCCCAGGGCAGTCCGGCTCCTAATCTTCATATTCAAAGGCTCTGATTCCTCAGTCTCTAGAGCAGCTCGTGGAGTTGGTCTAGAGAGACGTTTAGGAGAGAATGAAGTAGGGACTCACAGCATCTTCCATTCATTCCACAGGGTTTATTGAGAGCCTACTAAGTGCAAGACATTCTGCTAGATCCCGGATATATAAAGGATAAAACACAGCCCTGCCTTTAAAAGGAGAACATAGTGTCAGTTGTGTTTTAAAAAAAACAACACCAAATTACTATAATATGATGAACACTGCAAAGAATATATACATAAGATACTGTATTGTTACAGAAATGAAAATGAGACAGGGAGAAAATCAGGGAGTGCTTCCAAAGGGAGGAGACACTTAAACTGGGTTTTACAGAATAGAAGTTGTGCAAACCAAAAAGATGAAGAAGTTGTGAATCACCTGAATAGCATTCCCAATAACAAGACTTTCCAAAGCTCTCATACCAAAGCAAACCTCTTAGAAGTTCATTCCAATTACCCTGTATAACTCTGCCAAAATAAGATAAAAATGATCCCTCCCTCCTTTTTTCTCATTTCTCTCCTAGACACTGAAAATTACTCCCTAATTTGTAGCTACAGAGAGAATAAAATTCTACCTACTTGAGCCCTGGCCGGTGTGGCTCAGTGGATTGAGTGCCGGACTGTGAACAGAAAGGTTGCTCGTTTGATTCCCTGTCAGGGCACATGCCAGGGTTGTGGGCCAGGCCCCCAGCTTGGGGTGCGCGAGAGGCAACCAGTCATTGTTTCTCTCTTTCTTTCTCTCTCTCTTACCCTCTCTTTAAAAATAAATAAGTAAAATCTTTTAAAAAAATTCTATACTACCTGGAACAAAAGCATGTTCCATAGTGGTATACAAAGCCACGATGCTCGCTTTTGTTTGTTTGTTTTTACCTAATTCTGTCTTATCCTCTATTTTCATAGTTTTCCATTGGTAAATTTAGACATTCGACTTCCATCCTCTCACCCAGGAACTTTATCAAGCACAAATTTAATGACATCCTGAGAAAGTCCTCTATGTGGAGCTATTTTTATTTTATTGATTTATTTTGCAAATTCATTTGTCTTCTTCCTTCATGCTTCCAGAGAGAAATCAAAACCCTACAAATTATAAATAGATTATTAACACTGACTCGCTGAAACTGCATAAGGTACTTAATGCCTTAGCTACTCAGATTCTTCTCTGCCATGTTCAGGGCTTGGAAAACTGCATCACAAGCCCCTTAAAGGTAATGCAAAGTGAAACCCACCTTTCATTAAGGACTGAGAGTCGGACCCTTTGCCTAGATGGTATCACGTGAATAATCACTCTGATGACAGATGTCGAATTTACTCACTCAACAAACATCAGCTAAGCACCTACTATGTACCAGGCACTGTGTAAGGCACTGGGCTAGGCACCGTTGGGTGTAAACACCAATAAGACAACGAGATTCTGAGCGAGCCAGCTTCACTGTAGCTGTGATTCAACATTGCTCTCCTCTCCCCAGGACCATCCCGAAGAAAACAAAGCCGCCTGCACGTCTGCCAAGGCCAACATCTTAAACTAGTGTGAGCCCTCCAACAGCTGATCCCTGTTTTAGGTCAATAAAAAGTTTGGCAAACATGATGAAGGTCTCCTTGGATAGGTCCCTGGGGCTGATCTTTGAGGAGAAACAAGAAACAAACCTGCGGCGGAAGGAAAGCCTCGCCATAGAGCTCTGGGCCATCTCCCCAAAGCCTGATTATCTCGTATGGCCTGCAGTGGCACCTACAAGTCCGCGAATTCACCTCAGACCTTTACTTACCGTCTTATTTTCCCACCTTTTCTACAGCCTCACTCTGACCTTAGCAAGGGAGGCCAGTTTGTTCTTCTGATTCCAGTGAACCATGAATAAGAATTGAACAGAGTGAGTGAGACGCTCAAAGGCCTGCCAAGTAAGCTCGGGCAAGTCATTTCACCTCTCTGACCCTCAATCTCTTCATCTATGAAAGACAAGCAATGCCTGGCTCACAGTGTCCTTGGGAGGTTAGAGGAGATCGTGTGTGTGAACGTGACTCACACATCATCTGGCATGGAATGGGGGCTCAGTAA